ATCGCGCCTAAAAACGCATTATGCAACCGTCAACATGTTTTCTTAATTTTTTAATCTGAGACTTAAGTGACGTATTTTATCGGTTTGACAAGGTCATAAGGTTGACGATCGGAGGCCATTAGAAGATTAAAAAGGGAGAAGCAGAAGAAAGAACATGTTTTATCTTTAATGTTGTGCTTTGGGAGGGGTCTCCCCCTCCAAAAAAGACACAAAAAAATTTTTTTTTTTTAAATTGTGCGTACGAGTTCGTGCGTTCGTGCGTGCGTGCGTGCGTATCGTATACATACATTTTAAATATATTTATGGGGTAGAAAAGAAACGATAATAATAATAATAAGATATGGTAATCGATACGAAGGAGGTCGAGTGGGTGATAAAAAAAAAAAAATTCATTCTAATTTATGTAAAAATAAAATAAAAAAAAATTCAAACCTTTTCTTCTGTTTTCCCCCCTCCCCCCTCCCCGAAAATTGCATTTAAAAATAAAATTTAATCGTCGCGTTTCGATTCGATACGATAAATCGAAAAAAAAAAAATTTAAGTTTTGTCGTCGTTTGTCGTCATAAACTTGGGTAATATTATAATAGAAAACGATTATTTATTCTACCGCCACGATGAAAATTATACATATAAATGCACACATTTAATTAACATGATATTTAATTCGTTCTTCTTCTTTTTTTTTTTTTTATAAATCCCACGTGATTTAACATTTAATGGGGGAGGAAACAAAAACAAAATGTTGTCATCAGTAATAAGACAAAAAAAATATATATATATATAAAAACAAAATTATAAAGATGATTATTAGCATTTTCCCCATTCCCTTTTCTTCCCCTCTTCCCTCTCCCCACTCCTCTCTGCCCGTCGTTTCACTTTTTTTACTTATTACGACCCTGTTTTATATTTATTAATATGTTTGTGTGCCCGGGAGAACAACAACAACAACAACACTTTGTAATAATAAGTAATTAACATTAAGATTCCTACTGGAATAACAAGTATTTTGTTGACTTGGGTAAAAATCCAGTGCTACCAACCATCGCTTGAGGCTTAAACCTGCCACCAATGCGGCGCCATCACCCCATATATTTACTTTATAAATATTTTTTTTTTTTTTACATAATTATTTACGCTATTATTAAAATTTTCCCTCTACCCCTCCCCCCTCTTCCTCTCTCTCCCACTCTAAACTATCGACGATAACGTTAATAATAATAATAATAATTGTAATAAATAATGATTTTTCATTTAGTTAAAAAAAGAAAAAACTGGTAAAACCGGAAGTGAAACCTGTGAAACTGGCAAAACTTTTTTTTTTCAAACCTATTTAATCGTAACCGGAAACGCGTTGATTAAAAAAAAAATTAATTAATTAATAAGTAATTATTTGAATCATTGATCGGGCCATTGGTCAATTTATTTTTTTTAGTTTAAAAACATTTAAGATTTAACGAGCCCACGTGATCGCTGATGATGATGATTATGATGATGATGATGATGATGATGATACGTACCTTCTTGTAAATTATTGTTAATTCCATCATTCCACGTGTCAAACAAAATCTACGAAACATAATAAACAAAATTATTAAAATTTTTCTCATTACATCTCGTAATGGAAACAAATTATTTAATTATTACAAAATGGCGGCAAAATTATTATTATTATTTTGAAGAAATAATTAAACATTTACATACTACTACGTCTACCGGTTTCGGTACTGATTTTGCATCGCTTTCACTTAAGCATCCTACTGATGCGTGCGTGCGTGTGTGTGTGTGTGTGTGTTTTTCCTGATTCATTTCAAGGTCGAAAAACTTGAATAACTGAATTATATGTGCAACCGAGTAAAAAAAAAAAAAAAAAAAAAAAAAAGTTTTTTTTCCAAGACACACACGATTGTGTCTCATGCCACGTCTGCATTAATAAATTTATTGAAAACAAAAAAAAATGAAAAAAAAAAGACGCAACAAGTTCAATTTTAATTTTTTTTTTTCTTCAAATTTAAATAAAAATTTTTCGACGCCATTTTCTTTTTTTTTCTCTATGACTTCAACGTTTGAGTAACGTCGCGTACGCACACGCACACACACACACACACACACACACACATAAAAATAAAAGAAAATTTACAAAGAAAAAAAAACAACACATAATAATAATAATAATAATAATAATACTTAACCTTATTATTTTATTACCTGTAATAATTTCCCTCCTAAAAATAAATAAATAAAGAGTAATAATTATTAATCTATCCTATACATACGCATTATTTAATCAAACGCTCATTTTTAATTAAAAATAATAATGATAATAATATTAATAATGATTATGATGATGATAATGATAATAACAATAAAAATTATTACTCCGACCCAAGTCCAATCGTTTAATCCCGAAGAATTAAGAGCCTGAGGACATCATTACCTGACAGTATTAGAATTACTTAAAATCAATCTAATGCTGCCCGGTAAGATGTAAACAGTTACTCTTTCAAAACGTCAGCCATTGCAATACTAATAATGATGATGATAATAATAATAATAATAATAATAATAATAATAATGCAAAACAGTGAAGAAGAAGAAGAATCGTTCAATCGTCGTACGTCGCATACAATTTTAAAAGAATCCGCGACGGCGGCGGCGGCAGCAGCAGCAACATCATCATCATCATCATCATCATCGTATCGAAAAAACGGAAACGGAAATGATTATTTGATTCGAAAACAATTTTTTTTTTTTTTCAGATTAAACTTAAACTCTCATCGTACGTTACATTATTATTCATTTCAATTTTATTTTATTTTTTTTTTTTTCAAAATGGCGGTCGTCGTCGTTGTTGTTTTTTTTTATCGAACTTTTTATTATTATTAACGTTTGTTTGTTAGTTTGTTTGTTTGCTTGCTTGCTTACAATTACAAAGATATTAATTAATAAATTAATTAAAAAAATAAATTAAATGATAGTAATTAAAAAGTTCAAAGAGGAGAAAGAGGACGAGGAGGAGGAGGTGGTTGAGGCAAGAGAACAGAATTTTTTCTTTTTAATGACGTCACAATTTGTATTATTATTATTATTATTATTCTTTGTTTTGACAAAGGAGAATTTTTTCTTTCTTTTTTTCGAAACAAAGGAAAAATTGCAAAAAAAAAATCGCAAAAAAAAATTGGCAGACTTACTCGAATGCGACAAAAAAAAATTTTTTTCTTTCCCCCCCCCCTCAACGGGAAATAAAAAATAATAATAATAATAATAATAAAATTGGAAACAACCGAAAGAAACAAACTGATAGACACAGGAAGACAAACAGGCAAACAGACAAGAAGCGAGGAAGGAAGAATAACAAAAAAAAAAAACCCAAAACAAACAAAGGACGAATAATTTCACCCTGAAAATTATTTTTTAAAAAAAACAGAAAAAAAGAAAAATTTGCTGCGTTAATGGCGGCGACATTAAACCGTCAGAATTTTAAAATTCGCAATTCAAATTTATTTTATAGGAAATTTCTTTTTTTTTTTTTTTTTTTTTTTTATTATTATTTCCTTTAAATATAACCTTAGTCATTTTCCGAGTCCATTTTAAATTTTCATCGAATCGTTTAATTTTTTTTTTTTTTTTTTATTTGAAAAGAACGAGGAAAAAATTAAAAAAGAGAAAAAAATTTCATCGACTTTGTTTCATCAAATTTTTTTTTTTTTAATAATATAAATCGAAATCCGTACACTTTTTTGTTTGCCCCCCTCCCCCGCCACCCCCAGAACGAATTCGAAACAAATAAATTTTTTTTTTAATATTTTTATTTATTGAAAACGACGACACACAAGAACAAAGGAAAAAAAATTTTCATTTTCATTTTCATCTGTTTACGACGTTTCCATTTCATTCGACAAAAACAAAAAAAACTTCGTCATACCCAACATTTTTTTTTTTTCATTTTTGCCAACCTTTGAAATCGAATTTATCCAGTATATCGCATTGTATTTTATTTAATTTTTCATTTATGAACATACAGCAGCACGCACACACGCACCCACGCAATCACCCCGACAGCATTTACGATCGACACACAACAACGACGAACAATATCCGGCAACGTTTCACGAAATTTAAAACAAAGACATATTAGAACAATAATAATAATAATAATAATTTTTTTTCAAGCAGAAGACGCGAAGAAATTTTTGTTATTTTTCTTTCCATTTTTTACCTTCCTTTGACGACGACGCGATTCTTCTTGGCTCTCTCTAAAAAAAAAAAAATTTTTCCAACCGCGAATGAGAGCCACGCCTAAAAGGGTGAGAGAAATCGAACCGTCTTTCCTTTGTTGACCGGACTTCAACCCTTAAAGTGCGGGGAGTCACGCCAACCAATTATTAACCTTAACGGCAGAAAGAAAAAAAATAAAAAAAGGAAAAAAGAAAAAAATTGAATGAAAAAAAAAAAAACCGCTTATGTAACGTCGTGAAAAAGGGATTTCGACGTACGAAACAAAAATAATAATAATAATGATAATTTTCCTTTTTTTTTTCCTTTTCCAATTTAAAATTTTTCCTTTTTTCCTTTTCCAAATTTAAACTTTTCCTTTTTTCCTTTGACGTTCTAAATTTTTTTTTGTTTTTTTTTTTGAATTTTTTCCTAACGCGTAATAAATTAATACGTGAGCTTTTTTGGTACTCGTCAAAAAATTCATATCATTCCAATTCATACTTATCTCCTCCCCCCTACCATTCATTCATTCATTCATTCATTCCGCAATTTTTTTTTTTTAATCATCATCAAACAAACAAACAAACAAACAAAAAAAGAATGAAAAAGAAGAAGCAAATTACCTTTTTTTCTTTTCCAACTTTGTTCAGGTATATTTTAATGACACCTTTCCTCGTAAAAAATTTACTCACTCAAACGAATCATTAAAATTTCATCCAATTAAAAAAAAAAACAACAACCACAACAACGAATGATAATAATAATAATAATCAACAATTTTTCCCCCTCCCCGCCCCCTAAAAAACAAATTAAAAACGACACAAATCGATGATGAAATATGCTCACAAATTGACTCGATCAAAAAAATTTTTCTTTGAAACTAAAAAACTTTTCCAGACGATCCTTGCTTTTTATTCTTCTACCCCGCCCCCCCCCCAAAAAAAAAAAAAAAAGAAAAACCCGAAATCGACGGAAAGCAACACACGACGCGACCGAAAACGTTTGCCAACTGATGACCGGTTTCGCCGTACGAAAAACTTTATATATACCCGATCGTTCCTTTCACAAACACCCTCAATTTTTAGGGGTTGATTCCAAGTCCAAAGTCTGTCAAAATATTATTCTAATCTGGTGTCTTCAAACAATATTATTTTTATATCATTATCATGGTGAATAACAAACCCCCAGACTAAATATGGATACGAATCGTGAATCATTTAGTATTGTTTGTACAATTGAATATTTTTTTTTTTTTTTTTTTTTGGGGAAAAACAATCGTCGTGTGAGTAATGCGACAAAGTCAAATAAACGAGTACGCCATTGTTCCCCCCTCCCTGTACAAAAGTAGAGAATTAACAGTGGAATTAATTCAAACAACAGCTAAAACCACGACAGCAACGATAATAACTGCGAAAAGAACACAAAATACTCAACAGATTAACAAAAAAAAAAAAATCAAAAAAATCAGAGAATCATTAAATTGTATCACGATGTCCTTCCAACCTTTCCCCCTTCCCCCCGGGTTTTCAACCATTTAAAATAATAAAAAAAACGCAAATTTAAATTTTCATGACATCTACGACGACGACGACGACGACGACGAGGACCAAATACAATTTAATTAATCATTAAACGGATCGTTTGAAATCATTCGAGTAAAAAAAAAAAAATCAACATTTACGACAAGATGATTACTCAGGTAAAAAAATTTTTTCGCAAGCACGATCTTATCATCATCATCATTAATATTATTATTATTATTATTATTATTAAATGAATTAAATTTAATCATTGAAAAAAAAAGTGTATGTATATCGCATTTAATTAAGATTATTATTATTATTGTTTTTGAAAAATGCAGAAGGAAACTCTTTTAAATCCATTTTTTTAAAAACTTTCCCCCTTCATTTCTTGGACGAACCTTAACTTATTCCCTCTCCTCTTTCCCCCTCCCCAAAAAAAAAAAACCACAAACATTTTACACAGGAAAAAATATATATATATATCGGGCTGTGACGTCATTCATCAAATCGTTTTATTAAATATATATATATATATATATATATATATATATATATTCCTCCTGTTGACAATTTCAGGTTCGGAAAAGATTAAGTTAATCGACCGAAAAAATGTGAGCGCGTTTTACAAAATTTTTTCTCTCTCTCTCTCTCTCCCCCCTCCTTAATCCTATCGTATCCTAATCCGATCGATTTAAGAAAATTTCTTAAAATTCATCATAAAAAAAAAAATTGATACCTGAACGAATTGGAAAACTTATTAAAAATGAAAAGAAACAAAGGATACATTCGAGGAATTTTCCCCCCTGACCGGAAATTATTATTTACACTCCCATACATTTTCACTCGAAAAAAAAGGGAAAAAATAAATAAAAATTAAATTAATAGAATTTAAGGTTTCAGCCTACGATCTATCCCTCTCTCTCTCTCTCTTTCTCTTTCGTCACAAAACAGGTTCAAAACAAGTTGATTCAAGTTCAAACACGTTTAAGCTATATATATGTATATTCTGGAATACTCTAAACACCTGAGAAATAATTTGATGATTCATAAAAATTAAAATAGAAAAAGACCAACGGATAATAATAATAATAACAATATACACTCAAATCGAGGTTAAATTTGTATTAAATATAATAATAATAATACTAATAGTAATAATAATAATAATAATTGATAAATTTCACCCGAAATATTTTAATTGTCAACTCGAAAGTGATGTTTTCACGTTTCGAAGTTGTCGTCTTGGTCAATTTTTTTTTTTTTTTTTTTTTTCGAGCAAAAATGAAGAAATTTGACATTTATTAATACAACGAGACATTAATAGGACTTGTAATAATAATAATAATAATAACACAACAACTAACTGAAAAGAGAGAGAGAGAGAAAATGAAATCTCAAGGTAACTTTTTAAATATGATCATAATAATAATAATAATAAACTTGAAATTTTAAAATTGAAATTTCTTGTAAATGTTTCAAGTTACCTTGATACCTGGAAAAAAAAAAACCTGGCTGGCTCGTACTCAAACGTACATAAAAGCATATAACGAATAAATGTTAATAAAAGTATAAATTTTTGAAAAAATTAATTAAGCAAATAAACGCTGGGAAAATGTATCCCCTCAATCCGTTAATCCAAACACCCAAAAAGGGAAAAATCGAACACGCTGCTGTTGGTGCTCGGTGGTGGACACACGAATTTCGAGATTTCAATGTTTTTCCATAAGTTTTTCGATTGGGAAGGGGAGGGGGAAT